ATTTTTAGCTTATATTACGATGTACTAGTATGTTTATTTTGTTTTTTACTAAGAATAAAGACGTTAATAGCTGGGCCATTAGCCTATAGTACGTATTATAAAAAGTTAATTATTAAAATTATTATAATATTATGATGTTTATATTTATTWAAAAAAATTAATAATTATTAACGACCATCAGTAAAGTTAATTTTGTTTTAACATAGGTATCTACCAATTTCCAACGGCATATGATATTATAATAACTAATAATAAGTATTCTACTAATAGTATGATAATATAAACACAATATTTTTAAATGAAAACAAAATCTACATTATTTTATATTCCGTATCTCCATTTGATGTGACCGGTTTTCAGTATTGCAGATCGCATGGGGATGCGTAGATGAATCGATTTTTGTCAGACTGTGGCATGTTCTCACTTCTCTCGTGTAGTACTGAAATAATATCTTTTTACAACGGATACCCTTTAAGACGGGAATCTCCTCGAAACAGAAAATATTAACATTCCTGAATAACCTTTGATTCATGTATTTTAATCTCCCTATAAAGGAATTTCTTCTATGACGGAAAAATGAGTCAGTAGCTTGGTACCGAGCGATTCCGTTKTAAAGAGGTTTTATTATATTAATTAAATTTTTTTAAACAAGTAATTAAAATTAACTGTATTACTTTAATAAATACAATGGACAAAATAATTGAATTAATATAATCAATATCATTGAAATAAGTAATTMAATTAATTTAAATAGTATAATTTATAAAAAAGTAATTATACTATAAATATTAGGTACTTTGACATTTTCTATTTTGATCTAAAAAAACTTTTGTTTTAATATAATTAACAACTTAAATTAATAAAATACTACTTATTTTTTTATTTTTTTTTTAATTCCTCAAAGGGGCTATAAATTATAAACCAAAATATGTCAAATTATTAGTAAAAATAGAATGCCTTTCCAATTTCTTAAATTATATTTTATATATCATGTTAATATGATATAAAATTCTCCGGGAACAAATCAATGTAAGTTGCGTGGGTAATGGAAAATAAGTTAATTTGGACATTTTTTATTACCTCGCCATTATGTAAAAAAAATGTACTTATACCGATCTTAAATAATTTATCTGGGGAAAATGAGATATTTTTTTTTGTTTCTTGAAAATAAGTGACTTTGATTATTCTA